CAAATTTCACTACAGGGAGCACACTCCCCAAAAATTCAATACACTAAACCCATCACCATACAAACATATATTATTACTGCACCTATACTAATGAACCTTAACTCTGATATTAAAACCCCCCCAAAAATTTGCCAACCTCAAAAAGAAAACCCTGCCATAAACAAGGCACGTCACCCTTTTAAGTTCCCCGTGTCCATCTCACGCTATGCAAAAAAATCAAGCACATAAAAGGCCTAAATCTGGAATTATTAAACCCGAAATTAAAAAAAACATACCTGTTTATAAAATTTAAGTCTCTTTCAAAGATTACTTACTCACCCAAAACCCAAAAAAATCTGAAAAACTGAAAATTATAAATTGTATATCTTAAAAAGTTTCCACAATTATATCACATAAATGTTTTAACCCCAAAACCAATCTAACTTTATTTTTTTTTAAATACACTACCTAACAGATCACTACCCAACTGAAAGCAAATATGACCCGTCTTTTTAATACTCCTTTTGGTTTATAGTTATTGTTTTCATTAATGTTTTTTCACTGATTTCATCATTGCTTGTGCACGCTGTATAGTCCTTGTGCTTAGCGCTTCTTTTTTATTTTTAATAATAATAATAATCATTGCTTTGTTAATCTTAAGTTAATTTTTAAACCACCCCGTAATGTATGCATAGTTTTAAGTGCTTTGGCATGTGCTCTTATCGTATTTTTTTTTTTTTTACCCCCGTTGTGTGCACAAAATTTGGAAAAAAAATAAATAATAAAAAAAATAAATATCCTGGGGAAGTGGAATAAGAATCTTTCCCCCGTAAGCCAGCGGTTTTACGTCAACTAAAAAACCGGGAAAATGGGTGTAACCCCTTTTCCCGTAAAGATTACTAAAAAGAAAAGAAAAAATTGTCAAAGTGGGAAGTCGAATGTGCGTGGTGTTGTGCAAATATAAAAAAGAGATGTTTTTGGTGTTATGAATGAGAAAAAGGGTGTCCTGGTTTAAGTGAAACAAAGCTGAAGGGGGTGGGGAGTTTAGTGGAGGGGGAAAAAAATGGATTGGTCAGGGGGGTTTAAAAGGTTAGGCTAAAAGGTAGCAATAATGTTGAAAGGGTAAGCTATGGCGGAAAAGAGGGGGGTTAAATGTATAAAATTCAAAGGTTTTTGTGGAGGTAAATAAAGATTGGTGTGAAAAAGGGGTTTTAATAAGGGTATGCACCCGGAGAAAAAGGGAAGTGTAGAGGAGAGAGAGAGATTTTGGAAATGTTGAGTGAATGCATGGGGAGTTTTGAAAAAGTGTGAGAGTAATGGTGGTTGGGGGGTTTTAAAGCTAAAGTGGGAAAAAATGTTAGGGGGATTTGTAGGTAAATTTTTTGGGGGCCGGGGGTAAATGTAAATGGGGAGCCTTTTTTTGAGTATGTGTAGAAAGAAATTTGGTAATAAGTAATACATATTTTATGAAAAAGAGGATATAATAAATATCAAGGTATGATGTACCCGTAATAAAAGTAGTTTATTAGTTATGTTTGGTGGATAAAAGGTTGATGGGTAGGCTCCGGATGTACATTTTTAAAGGGGGAACTGATATATCGGATCTTATTTAGTTGTAGCTCAGTTAGAGTAAGGGTAGATGGGAAAAGGGGAAAGGTGGCAACAACAGTAAGAGGGAGGTGAAAGTGTTAAACTAAGGGAGGAGGAAGTTCGGGTGGATTTAAGGACTTTGGGCAAAAAGGTGGGCTGTGCAAAGAGGGTTAGGGGGGGGGTTAAAGGGGGTTGGAAAGTTTTAAAAATGCAGTATTAGAATTGGGGAAAAGTTTGGGTTATAGGAGGGGGGGGCAGGGGAAAGGGGAGTGATTGGTGGAATGATGAAGAAAAGGGTGTGATAAAAGAGAAAAAGGTGCTTAGGGAAGGTTTTTACAAAGCGAAGTGTTTAAAAAGAGCAGAGTTAGGGAGATTTAAAAAAAGGAAAAGGGAGTGGTGAGAGAGTAAAAAAAAAGGAGAGCAGGATGAGTGGGAAGGGATGTAAAGAAAAATTTTTAAATGAAAATAAGAAAAATTTTTTGGAGTGAGATAAACAAGTTAAGAAACCCTAGGGAAAAAATTGGATTTGTCAGTTAAAAACAGAAGTAGGGAGTTAGTAGATGGGGGATGGAGGTATTGGGTAGATGGCGGAATTTTTTGAGGAATTTTAATTTTAAAGGAAAGAAACAGAGGCAGAAATTTTCATGCAGGGTAGGGAGGTTACCATTTTTAGGAGTGAAGAAGGAGAATGCAAGTGTGGGGGGGGTTTCGTGAGGCATTAGAAAAATGAAAGGGGGTAAAGCGCGGGAACTGGGGGGGATCATGACAGAAATTTTAAAAAAGAGGGGGGGGGAATTAGTGTTGGGTGGTTGGTATTTTTTTTAAATAAAAGTATGAAAGAGAGGAGGTACCTGGGATTGGCGGGGAGAGCATGATAGTCCCTTTTAAAAAGGGGGAAAGGGGACAAAAGAAGTAAAAATTATAGAGGAATAAGCTTAGAGTTCCAGGAAAAGTGTCGGTGGGGTTTTAAAATTTGAAAAAATTAGAGGTAAGACAGAATGTAGGATTGCGGTGGAAGGAGGTTTCAGGTGGGAGGGGATGTGTGATCAATGTTTACATTGAAGCATTTTTGTAAACGTATTTTGTAAAGGTAGGGAAATTTTTATTGTTTATGGATTTGAAAAGGGGATATGAAGAGTGGTGAGGAGCAATGTGGGAATGTTGCAAGATTGGAATAGGGGGTAAGTTATTAAAAGCTGTAAAGAGTTTTTATGGGATAGTGAGGTAGGTTAGGGTGTGTAGAGAGGGGAGATACTTCCCGGTTTAAAAATAGGTCTTAGACAGGGGTGTGTAAATGTCACCATGGTTGTTTAATTATTTATAGATGGGGTTGTAAAGGAAATAAATGCTAGGGTGTTCGGGGGGAGGGGTGGGGTTAAAATTTTTGGGGGAAACAAATTCAAAATGGGGAATTGACACAGTTACTTTTTGTGAGTACTGTGCTTTTGGGGGATTTAAAGAAAAATTGCAAGGTAGTGGGTGAGTTTGGGAATGTGTGTAAGGTAGAAAGTTTAAAATGAACATAGAAAAGGAAAAAGGGGATGGGGGTGTCAAATGATTTAGATAAAGAAAAATTTGGGTATCAAAAATTGGGGAGGAGGAGTAGGAAAGAAGTGAATGTTTTCAGTATTGGGGGAGTTTACGTGTCGGCGGGTGGATTTATGAAGGATGGGGTTTAAACATAGAATTTAGAGGGAAAAAAAAAGGTGAGTGGTGCGTTGAGGATATGTGGAGTCAAAAAACGTTATTATGGAGGCAAAAGAAGGGAATGTATGAAAGTTAGAGTACAACACTTTATAGGGTGTGAAGCTTGGGGGGTAAAAGCGGGAGCGAGGGATGGTTTGGAGGCAGTGGAGAGTCCCGTTTAAGGGCAAAGTGTGGTGTAAAAAATTTGCAGAAAATTCGGGGTGGAAATTTGGAGAAGGGGTGGAGTTAATAAAAATATTAGTCAGGGGAGAAGGGGGTTGTTTAGGGGGTTTGGTCATTTAGAGAGAAAGGATCAAAGAGGACATGGAAAAGCATTAATTATAGGGGGGGAAGGCGGGGGTAGGGGTGTCCCGAAAGGGTTGGAAAAAAGGGGGTAAAGGGGTTTTTGGGCAAGGGGGTTGGGCTTCCGCAAGCGTGCGTGAGCGTGTTGATAGGGGAATGGGACGAATGGTACTTGGGACCTGACGATCTGTTGAAGTGTGAGCAGGGTAATATTTAGTGAAGGGATTCAGGGAAACCGGTTATTTTCATATAGTCGGACTTGAGTCCTGGAAATGGGAAGTACAATGCCTGCACTTTAAAGGAGGGGTTTGGGATATTGGCAGTTTGGAGGGATATGTTGTGTATCTTTATGTGTGTATGCTTCTAGACTGTTGTATTCTGAGCACCTCTGCAAAAACAGTGATAATGTGCGAGTGTGGTGAAAGTGTTGAATGATGATGAAAGTATTTTCTTTTTGGGGATTTTCTTTCTTTTTTTGGGTCACCCTGCCTCGGTGGGAGACGGCCGACCTGTTAGAAAAAAAAAAAAAAAAAAAAAAAAAATCTATAGTTCACTTATCTGTTACAAGCAAATTTAGGAAATTTGCTTATTATATCTGGTATCTTATTTTCATTAATAAGATATCTTGACATGTCACATAGGTTATTATACTGTCTATCTCTGCATACCTCAATAAGTGGACAATTAAGCACATAGTGTTCAAGACAGTGACCATATGCCTGACCACATAATTTGCATATTCAGCAAAGTGTACCCTTGCCAAACTGGCTCCGCCTCTTCACTGGTCGCCACTAGATCCACTCTTCCTGCTCCACGAGCTTTTTCATAACTTTTCTTAAACAAAGTGATTATGTATGAATGATGGTGAAAGTGCTGAATTATGAAAGTTTTTCCTTCTTATTTGGTCACTCTGTCCTCGGTGGGAAACGGCTGACGTGTTAAAAAAAATGTTTTCTTCTATTTACAAATGGGTCCCGCTTTACAGCGCTTCGCTTTACAGTGTTTCACTAATGCAATAGTTATCAATTATACCCACTGTTCATTTATTCAGACTTCCTAATCAGTGCGAGCTAAGGACGAAAATACTATTTTAAGGCAAGTAATGTGTATACCGTATAGTCATAGTTTTAGGCCTAGCTTTATTGTTCACTTAATATATGATAGTGTAAACATGTTATCAGGCTTTTATATGCATTTGAAAGTAAAATAAGGCTATGTTTCACTCTACAGTAATTTTTACTTTGCAGCTGAAGCCTGGAACCTAGCCTGCTGTATAAGCGAGGCCTTCCTGTATTTTTTAATTTGTGTACCTACATAAAAATAAGGCACAGTACCGATATTGTACTGTACTACTATATATATCTGTAGGCATCAGTGTAAGTGCAGTGCCAAGGTTTTTTCTTTAAACATAATTAATTACACTATTACTGTAAAAGTCTTGCCTTCTTGAGCTCCTCAATAGCAGCACGACCTCTTCCTTCGTCACGAGCTGTCAGATAAACTATGCCATCAAATTTGGCACAAAGTTCCTTCATTACACCAAACCCGATACCTTTGTTGCCTCCTGTCACCTGTTGGAAATATTAAATTATTTTAGGACACAATGTTCAATGTGAATTAAAATTTCCTTACAACATACAGAAAAGGCTTAATTCTCCCCAGAAACAGCAAAAAGATATACATCAACACGCTTATTAAGCTTATAAACAAATAAAAACAACTATACTGTGTCAACAGGTTCTAAGATATAAAGGTTGGTTCAAAAGACCTAGAAAACACTCTCAGATACTAGACTCATACAAAATAGCTAAATCTAAACAAATTGTACAGAACAGATTTAAAAACCCTCTATTTATATTGTTGATACCATAAATAAGCTTAATGGCATCTTCTCATCTATAAAGACTAATCTTGCCAGCAAAATCTCAGACTCCATTGCTCAGGTTAGTGATTATCTCAGTGGCAGTTCCAAAAACTCCCTCATCATGTCCCTAGCCAGTTCTACAGTGGTAGCATCAATAATAGAAGCACTATAAAACAAAGATAATAAAAGCAAGTATGCCACCATTCATATACAAGAGAGCTCTTCTGATTAATAAATCTCTTGAAAACAAATGTAAACTTTGCCAGATGGACTATTGTCACACCTTGCTTCAATATGTACTCGAGTGCGATAAAATTAATGAATTCAGTGACAACTCACTCAGAAATGTTTAAGAAATGGCAAAGTATTTTATCCACAGTGGTATATTATAGACCTTTCTGGAAAAGTACCCAGACTGCTCAATGTAAATAAAGCATTACCACTTTGTGTGTGTGACCTAATTAATATTTGCATTAATAACTCATTACAATTATGACAAGATATAAACATGTAAATAGTTCATTACTTTTGTAGGTTGTTCAGCTGCCAAAATTTTGCAGCCCAGTCCCCGGGCCCATTATGTACCTGGAGTTTACCTGGAGAGAGTTCCGGGGATCAACGCCCCCGCAGCCCGGTCTGTGACCAGGCCTCCTGGTGGATCAGAGCCTGATCAACCAGGCTGTTACTGCTGACTGCACGCAATCCAAAGTACAGTGGACCCCCGCATAACGATTACCTCCGAATGCGACCAATTATGTAAGTGTATTTAAGTAAGTGCGTTTGTACGTGTATGTTTTGGGGTCTGAAATGGACTAATCTACTTCACAATATTTCTTATGGGAACAAATTCGGTCAGTACTGGCACCTGAACATACTTCTGGAGTGAAAAAATATCGTTAACCGGGGGTCCACTGTATGAGCCACAGCCCGGCTGTGGTGCTTGTCCAGTGCCTGCTTGAAGACTGCCAGGGGTCTATTGGTAATCCCCCTTATGTATGCTGGGAGGCAGTTGAACAGTCTCCGGCCCCTGACACTTATTGTATTGTCTCTTAACGTGCTAGTGACACCCCTGCTTTTCATTGGGGGGATGTTGCATCATCTGCCAAGTCTTTTGCTTTTGTTTTGAGTGATTTTTCATGTGCAAGTTCGGTACTAGTCCCTCTAGGATTTTCCAGGTGTATATAATCATGTATCTCTCCTGCCTGCGTTCCAGGGAGTACAGGTTCAGGAACTTCAAGTGCTCCCAGTAAGTGAGGTGTTTTATCTCCATTATGCACGCCGTGAAGGTTCTCCGTACATTTTCTAGGTCAGCAATTTCACCTGCCTTGAAAGGTGCTGTTAGTGTGCAGCAATATTCCAGCCTAGATAGAACAACCCACAGGATGGGTATGGGGTGCATAATAAGGATATTAAACTAACGTCAACAGTCACCCATTTGATTCATCTTTTCACAACAGTGCCAACTTGTCTGGTTAAGAGGAGAGGCTGGCACTTTAGAGGTTTTAAAATTTTTCCAGTCATCTTATAAGATCACAATCGCACCTCAACATTCAACTTCTGTTTCAGTTACATGAAGCAGAAGCAACAATAAAATTCAAATTAAAAATATTGAAACTACTCACCACTGCGATCCTCTGAGCTGCCATCTTAACAGGAGGTTTCTTGAAAATCCTGAGAGAGAAAATAATGGTTTAATTTATTAAGGATCTGGAAATGTTATACAGGATTACATTGATTTATCATATAAGATTATTATAAAATCCTACATATATGTGGTACTAGCCAGTGTGGTAAAAACAATAGTGAACCTTCAAGCACTGTCTTGATTTCTCACATTACCAAGGAACTGTAAAAATAAAAGAACAACAGAAGGCATATGCCTTTTACCTGGAGAGAGTTTTGGTGGTCAACGCCCCCGCAGACCGGTACGAGACAAGGCCTCATGGTGGATCAGGGTCTGATCAACCATGAGGCCTGCTGGCCGCACGTAAACCCACGTATGAACCACAGCCCGGCTGATCAGATACTGACTTTAGGTGCCCGTTCAACGCCTTCTTGAAGACAGCCAGGGGTCTATTGGTAATCCCCCATATGTATGCTGAGAGGCAGTTGAACAGTCTCCGGCCCCTGATACTTATTGTGATGTCTCTTATTCAAATTCAAATTCTAAGTTTATTCTCTATAAGGATTACAATGCTGAGTTTACAGAATTTGGTTATTGTGTGGTTTACATGTAGTTAAATAATGATTACAGAGTGTACCACTAGAACACCTAGCATGGCTAGGCATTTCGGGCAGACTTAGTTTAATTCTTAATTTTAAAATATTACAAATTATGAGGTAAGTTGGTATTATGACTAAATACTAGTTTGTGAGTTTAGCAATGTGAATGCTTTTGTTTTGGCACAGTACATAGTTTCAGTATTGGAGTATCACAGGATTCATTATTTTAAGATTGAGGTTAATATTTCTGTTTATGGTCAAATGGGTGAGTGAGTGTAAGTGTGAACCACCAGGTGATATTCGTGTAGTTAGTTGATGGGGTGCATCAGGGAGATAAGATGTTTTCTAATGGTAGTTTTGAAGGTGATGAATGTGTCTGCAGTTCTAGGTTCTCAGGTAGGGTGTTCCAGATTTTAGGGCCTTTGACATACATTGAATTTTTGTAAAGGTTTAGTCGGACACGGGAAATGTCGTAGAGATGTTTGTGTCTGGTGTTATGCCTGTGGGTTCTGTCACAACTGTCAAGAAAGCATTTTAGGTCAAGGTTGATATTGGAGTTTAAGGTCCTGTAGATGGAGATTGCACAGTAGTAAGTGTGGATGTACTGAACAGGGAGTAAGTTTAGATCTATGAAGAGTGGGGGGGTGTGTTGCCAGGGATGGGATTTAGTGATTATTCTTACTGCAGCTTTTTGTTGGGTTATTATTGGCTTTAGGTGTGTTGCTGCAGTTGACCCAACCCACAAATATCATAGGTGAGGTATGGATAAATAAGCGAGTGGTATAGTGTGAGAAGGGCATTTTGCGGCACGTAGTATCGTATCTTGGAGAGGATCCCAACCGTTTTGGATACTTTTTTGGTTATGTGTTGGATATGGGTGCTGAAATTCAGGTTGTTGTCAAGGTATAGGCCTAGGAATTTGCCCTCATTATGTCTGGTAATTAGAGTGTTGTCGATCTTAATGTTAATTTGTGCATCTCCTGCTCCGCTACCAAACAATATGTAGTAGGTTTTGTCAGTGTTAAGCGTAAGTTTATTGGCTGTCATCAAAGTCGATATTTTGATCAGCTCCTCGTTAACAATGGTGTTGAGGGTGGCAAGATTAGGGTGAGAGATGACATAAGTCGTGTCGTCAGCAAAGAGAATGGGTTTCAGGTGTTGGGATACGTTTGGAAGATCAATGATGTATATGAGGAAGAGCAGGGGACCAAGGACACTGCTCTGGGAAACTCCAGTATCAAGTGGCCGTGTTGTTGATGCTGTGTCTTTAATGGTGACATACTGATACCTATTAGTAAGGTAAGATTTGAAATAAGCAAGCGCATGGCCTCTTATACCGTAATGGTCAAGTTTGTGGAGTAGGATGTCGTGGTCTACTGTGTCAAAAGCTTTTCTTAGGTCAAAAATTCCTAGTGGATATTCCTTATTTTCCAATGCTGTGTAAAGCAGATCTAGGAATTTTATGATTGCATCATTAGTGCTTTTATTTTTCCGGAATCCAAATTGGCAGGGGTTGAGTATGTTTTGTGCCGTTATAAATGAATATAGTCTCCTGTGCACGAGTTTCTCAAAGATTTTGGATAGCAATGGTAAGTTTGATATTTGCCTATAGTTGTTTAAGTCTGTAGGGTCACCACCTTTATGTATTGGTGTAACCCTTGCCATCTTGAGTAGTTTCGGGAAGGTGCTAGTTTCTAGTGACTTGTTAAAGAGTAATGAAATAGCATGCGAAAGGACATGGGCCGCTCGCTTGTACAGTAATGGTGGGACATGAGACAGATTCCCTGAGTTATTTTTAAGTGACTTTATAATCTCTGTGACTTCCGTGGGCTCAGTTGGTGCAAGATAGAAGGAATTTGGGAAATTCCCATCTAGGTAGTCCCCAGCATGGGCATTGGTATGTGGAATTTTATTGGCAAGATTAGATCCTATGGTTGAGAAGAAGTCGTTTATCTTGTTAGCTGTGTCAGTGGGATGTAGTGGTGTTTCATTAGGTTTAGTTAGGACAATATTCTTGTTTTTTTTCAGTTTGTGGGTCCCTAGAATCTGAGAGTGTTTTCCAGGTCTTTTTTATATCTCCTCTAGTGTCTGTGAATCTACTGGAGTAGTATAGTTGTTTGGCTTTCTTTATCGTGCTAGTAGCAGCCCTGCTTTTCATTGGGGGGATGTATCGTCTGCCGAGTCTTTTGCTTTCATAAGAAGTGATTTTCGTGAGCAAGTTTGGTACTAGTCCCTCTAGGATTTTCCAAGTGTATATAATAATGTATCTCTCTCGCTTGTGTTCTAGAGAGTACAGTTTGAGGAACTTCAAGCGTGTTTTATGGTAGTATTGTGTGCTGGGAAGGTTCTTTGTACATTTTCTAGGTCAGCAATTTCACCTGCCTTGAAAGATGCTGTTAGTGTTCAGTAATATTCCAGCCTAGATAGAACAAGCAACCTGAAGAGTGTCATCATGAGCTTTGAAGGTTCTCATTATCCATCCAGTCATTTGTCTAGCAGATGCGATTGATACAATAATTATGGTCTTGGAAGGCGAGATCTTCTGACATGATCACTCCCAGGTCTTTTACATTAGTTTTTTGCTCAGTTGTGTGGTTGGAATTTGTTTTATACTCCGATGTAGTTTTAATTTCCTCATGTTTTCCATATCGGAGTAATTGAAATTTCTCGTCGTTGAACTTCATATTGTTTTCTGCGGCCCATTTAAAGATTTGGTTGATGTCCTCCTGGTGTCTTGTAGTGTCTTCAGTGATAAGATAAGATAACATTTCGTTCGGATTTTTAACCCCGGAGGGTTAGCCACCCAGGATAACCCAAGAAAGTCAGTGCGTCATCGAGGACTGTCTAACTTATTTCCATTGGGGTCCTTAATCTTGTCCCCCAGGATGCGACCCACACCAGTCGACTAACACCCAGGTACCTATTTGCTGCTAGGTGAACAGGACAACAGGTGTAAGGAAACGTGTCGAAATGTTTCCGAACCCGGGCCCTCCGTGTGTGAAGCGGGAGCTTCAGCCACCAGGCCACCAGTGGAGGACACTGTCATGCAAATTCTGGTGTCGTCTACAGAGGAAGACACAATGCTGTGGCTTATATCCTTGTCTGTGTCAGATATTTTATTTTATTTTACCTTTTTTAATATCTGTTTTTGCCAAATATTCCAATTTACAATTTATTAATAACCGTTGTTTACCATCTTATTATCACCACTAAAATCCATTTAGTCTTTAATTTAAAACTGTGCACATTTTATTCTATTTATTGGACACAAGTTATGTTAGTTTTAACTACTTAACCAACATACATTAGCTACACACTTGTCCAAACATCCTCTTATCACAGATATTATTACTGGAACTCGGTACAATATAAATAATACATAGGTCAATAATTACCATTTAACGTAAATGCTGAATGATCACGTAGACCCAGATATAAATCTATATAATCTAATGCCCAATCAAAATTTAATGGAAAGTAATTGTCTGTAATACAGAGCATCACAAGCCAGCACTGTCCTAAGTAATGTCAGAAATATTGCAGTTCTCAATTACAATATTAGGTTCTTAAGTAAACATTATGGTGACCTTGCACTCCTTGATTCCCTAAAAACAACCTTCTCTTGTATTATTCTCGCTGAAACTTGTCTTAAACAGGACACAATATATTTATTTTTTATTTATGTCTTTGCAAACAGTACATTGAGATTTTGTATTTACAATAGTGGGTTGCAATGCAGAGAGAGCCTCTATTATGCCTGGCTTCTTACCAGGGGCCAGGAGCTGAGTCTCGATCCCTGCAACCACAATTAAGTGAGTACAACAATCCACAACTGCAGACCAAGTTGGGGGAGGTACAGCCATCTATTATATTCTAATGAATTATCATGTTGTAACACCACTTGCTACAGTCATGAATATGGAGAACATATTTGTGCTAATTTTACTGTAAAAAAAAAAAAAACTTAGGATTCCTATGACCATCGGTGTCATTTACCAGATACTTCATACAAATATCCAAAATTTCAGCGATATATTAGACACTAATCACAAATAACCAAATGAATAACCTTCACCTAGCCGGTGACTTCAACATTAACCTTGATCAAACACATGACCAGACTGCAACTGACATCATCAACAACACTTCTCATACCAATTATAACTAAATCAACCAGGATAACTGACACAAGTTAGGTAAAGGACCCCAATGGAAATAAGTCACTCTGTCTGACTTTTTTGGGTTATCCCAGGTTCTCTACACATATGCTGCTATGTATGATAATTCTATGTAACTGTATTTGTGTATACCTGAATAAATTTACTTACTTAGTCAGGAAACAGCACAAGTGCTCCCTGCCGCTGCTCTTGGACAACTGAGACAATGTAACCATAATTAATCATATATGGACCAATATACTAGTCCCCCCCCCTTAAGGGGAGGCAATATGTACTGCCCTCGAGCGAAAACAAATCGAAAAATTATGGAAATTGAGTTATTCGCATAGAAAACTGGCTAAACTCTTTGGCTGGACAACGGTGCAAGAATTAATGTCCTACAACGTTTCTACAAGGAATTACAGTCATTTATATCAGGTATGGTGACATCGGCGCTGCCATCATGACTGCTCACATCCCGTAAATTTTGGGGGGATTTTTTCCGTTTTTGTGTGTGTGTGTGTGTGTGTTATTTCTTGTATTATTCTTGCTAATATAATAATTGACTATTTGGCATCATATAAGAATGGGCGGAGTTTATACGAGTGTCAACCAATCAGGAACCAGCTTGCAACATCCGGGGACTCGGGAGGCTGTAGGAGTCCGGAGAAAATTCATCATTATTGAACTAATATCAACTCTACGGCTTATTTATCTATCAGAATTGATCTAATATGACATAATAAACCCTATAAATGACATATAAACATTATATATACACTAGAATTAATAAAATAGGCCATAATATGGCCAGTGTCTATCAGGGATATTAGGAATAAATCATTTCTTCCTTCCTATAACGTCTTCTATGGCGTTTAAGTAAGAGAAAGCGGTATTTTGGAGAGGATAACTACACTAGATCAAACCATACCATACCATACTAGCTCACAAGTAAACCCTGAAACAAACTCAATTTTCTCGAAAAAAAAAAAATTGTTTTTTCACGAGTCGGGAGGCCGGCCGGCGTTCCAGGCGATTATCTCGGAAATAAGTTATTAACTTATTTCATCAAGATTAGCCTTTATTATTGATTTAAATGAAATACTTTACTAAAAACAATCGTAAATCAATGATTATTCTCCTGTCTGGCAATGGGAGAATAATATTTTTCCAAATATTTTGGGAGTTATATGCGAGTTAAGGGCCAGGTATTGTGCAACATGTAAAAAAACTTATAAACTTTATTTTTTACAGAATAAAGATAAGATATTAACAGTGACTGCAGTTTGTCAGAATATTGTATTATGATTGTTTTATGAGTACCAAGTCCCAAAACCACTTTTCCTAGTGCCATTAACTTACACCTTCCTGACAAATGCAGTTTTCAGTGTATATATTTTTTCTCAGCTGTTTTTTGGCTATGTTATTGAAACTTACAGATAATATGTTTCATAAACACATCTTATGTACACCAAAAATGAAAGATATCGGACGAAAAAAAAAAAAAAAAAAAAAAAAAAAAAAAAAAAAAAAAAAAAAAAAAATGGTAACATCTTGACTCCCTTAACCATTCTCATTACTAAATTTTCCATTTGTAATATTATGTTTTGTACTACCTCACTAAGGAAATAAGTCACTGTGTCTGACTTTTTTTTGGGTTATCCTAGGTTCTCTACACATATGCTGCTATGTATGATAATTCAATGTAACTGTATTTGTGTATACCTGAATAAACTTACTTACTTACTATTATAAATCTAATTAATCACTTCAGTTACCTAACCTTTGTATCAGTATGCAGTAATTAATCAATCAATTAATCAATCAAGTTTATTCTCTATAAGGATGTATGTTAAAATGTACTGATCCATAACCTGTCAATATACCTGGAGTTTAACTGGAGAGAGTTCCGGGGGTCAACGCCCCCCGCGGCCTCGTCTGTGACCAGGCCTCATGGTGGGTCAGGGCCTGATCAACCAGGCTGTTACTGCTGGCCGCACGCAATCCAACGTACGAGCCACAGCCCGGCTGGTTAGGTACCGACTTTAGGTGCTTGTCCAGTGCCTGTTTGAAGACAACCAGGGGTCTGTCTATGGTATTAATTAGTATTAGTCTGCCCAAAATGCCTAGGCATGCTAGTGGCCTTCTTTGTAATTAATATTTTATAACGTGGAAGTTTGAAATGCTCTCACAGGCATGAAGAACACTCTATGAAGGGTTTATAATGACAGAGAAGCAATACAATGAAGACACGAGAGTCCAGCACTCACCTGTTACTCCACCCTGACTGGTAACTGAACATAAAGAAGACAAGAGAGTACAACACTCACCTGTTACTCCACCCTGACTGGTAACTGAACATAAAGAAGACAAGAGAGTACAACACTCACCTGTTACTCCACCCTGACTGGTAACTGAACATAAAGAAGACAAGAGAGTACAACACTCACCTGCCGCTCCACTCTGACTCCCCCTCAAGGAAGGTTCCTTGATGTTGGTGAGGGGCTCTTGATTTAGGGAATTGGATCTATGCTCCAGTTCCCCAAATTAAGCCTGAATGCCTTCCACATACCCCCCCAGGCGCTGTATAATCCTCCGGGTTTAGCGCTTCCCCCTTGATTGTAATAATAATAATAATCCACTCTGACTGGTAACTGAACACAATGAGTATTCTGTCTTTCTCTCATCTTGTGCTTCATCATGGTGATGTTGATACTCTGCTGCTGCTGCTGTTGTTGCTGTTGCTGTTGTTGTTGTTGTTGCTGTTGCTGTTGCTGCTGCTGCTGCTAGCTTCTGCTGCTGCTGTTGTTGTTAACTGCTTCTTTTGCTACTGCTGTTGCTGGCTGCTACTGTTGTTGCTAGCTGCTTCTGTTGCCACTGTTGTTGTTAGATGCTTCTGTTGTTGCTAGCTGCTGCTGCTGCTGCTTCTGCGATTGTTAGCTACTGTTGTTGGTAGTTCCTGTTATTGGTGCTAGCTGCTGCTGCGGTTGTTAGCTGCTTCTGCTACTGCTGTTGCTAGCTGTTGTTATTATTGTAGCTGCTGTTAGCTTCTCCTGCTACTGTTGTTGGTGTTGCTAGCTCCTGCTGCTACTGTTGCTAGCTGTTATTGTTGTTGCTAGCTGCTATTGTTGGTGCTAGCTGCTGCTGCGGTTTCTAGCTGCTGTTGCTGCTGCAGTTGCTAGCCGCTGTTGGTGCTGTTGTTGTTAACTGCTGCTGCTGCTGCTGCTGTGCTTGTTGTTGCTGTTACTGTTGTGTTGCTGCTGCTGTGCTTGTTGTTGCTGTTACTGTTGTGTTGCCTAAACCACAAGGGCTATACAGCGCTGTATATACACTTGGAAAAACTCTAGAGGATTAGTACCAAACTTGCACACGAAAATCACTCCCTACGAAAGCAAAAGACTTGGCAGGAGATGTAACATTCCCCAATGAAAAACAGGGGTGCCACGAGTAAGCTAAGGGACAACACAATAAGTGTCATGGTCCCAAGACTGTTCAACTGCCTCCCAGCATACATAAGAGGGATTACCAATAGACTCCTGGCTGTCTTCATCACGATGCTGGACAGGTACCTCAAGTCGGTACCTGATCAGCCAGGCTGTGGTTCGTATATTGGTTTACGTGTGGCCAGTAGTAACATTATTATTATAATAAAAAAGAAGCGCTGAACCACAAGGGCTAAACAGCGCTGCAGTCAGCAGTAACAGCCTGGTTGATCAGACCCTGATTCACCACGAGCCCTGGTCTTAGACTGAGCAACGGGGGCGTTGACCCCCAAAACCCTCTCCAGGTATACTCCAGGTATGGAGCTGTACCAGCGCACAGGATGTACTACAGTACACAACTAACACCATACATAGTCCACATGGCTATGAAAATCAGGACAAGAAATGTCAGTAGTTTTATTATAATGAAAAGAAGCGCTAAACCTAGAAGGGTCATACAGCGTCAGCAGTTTTCCATAGTCTCAATTCTACTTCTGGCTGCTGCCGCTGTGCACCTTTAATAAGCACCTGAATGTTGACCACCTGTTATGTGTCACATTTTATAAGCATGGGAGAGAGTATATGGCAGCATGACTTAAATAAATGAATTGAACTGAGGTTGGGAAAAGCTCAGCCTATCAATTAAATGTTGAGGAAAATATCAAGTGTTATCCGCTGTGTATAGACCATTATGTTTCTTATTTCCACACACCTTGAAGCTACTTGATCTCTGCAGACTGCAGTCGTCAGTCTGTGACTCGCATAAACCGTAATAACACGATACAAACAAATCACGGAAAGATTATTATAATAAAAAAGAAGCGCTAAACCACAAGGGCTATACAGCGCTGCAGGGCAGGAAGCGAGGGTATCAGGTGGAAAAAGGGAGATGGATGAGTAGTAGGTTACGGAGAACAGCTTGGCAGTGGATGGTGAAAGGGTAGAGAGAAGCAAGAGATTGAGGTAGAAAGGGCTGAGGGGAGTGCAAAAGGTAGTATCATCAGAGTTTGTGGAGTAAATCAGTTGTTGTCAAGAACTCAATGAGAGAGTCAGGATTAAAGGAGGGTCCATCAGCAAGAAGGAAAGGTAGAGAGAGTAGTAGAGCGGAGACGACATTGGAGGTAAATTCTGCGTGCTTCTTGATAGAGAGGGCAGTCTAACAGAATGTGGCTAATTGATACTGGAACTTGACACTTCTCACTGAGAGGAACAGGGTGCCTCTCCATGAGATACCCATGAGTAAGACGAGTGTGGCCAATGCAAAGGTGGGAGAGAGTAGTCTCCCAACCTCGGCACTGATGACAAGATGGCCAGTAGCCTATGCTCGGTTTAATAGAATGAAGTTTGTTACCGAGTAAAGTTGACCAACGTTGTTGTCAACGGGTGTGAAGGTGGGTAGCTATTACAGAAAAATAGTCCGGAAATGAAACACCTCTATATGAAATTGGTAGGTCATGTACTGCTGACCGTGCAGCAGTGTCTGCCTGTTCATTGCCCTGTACATCAACATGACCAGGAACCCAACAAAAAAACTTCTTTATGCTTGATAGAGATACGGCATAGCCAAAGTTGGATATGGAGAACTAGGGAGTGAGGTGTATCAAATTTCCGTATAGCCTGTAGAGCACTAAGGGAGTTTGAGACAACCACAAATGATGACACAGGCATAGATGTGATACGAATAAGAGCTGCAAGAATGGCATACAATTCAGCAGTAAAATGCTAGCTGAAGATAGTAAATGCCCTCGCATGACGCTGTCCGGAAACACTGCTGCGAATCCGACGCAGTCAGAAGACTTAGAGCCATCTGTGTACACAGCGATGGCATGAGAATG